ACTTATATAACTATAGTATGTGTGTGTGTGTGTGTGTGTGTGTGTGTGTGTGTGTGTGTGTGTGTGTGTGTGTGTGTGTGTGTGTGGCGTGTGCGTGTGCGTGTGCGTGTGTGTGTGTGTGTACACAACAAAGCGGATAAAGACAAATTCGTCTGAAATATATGGATGGGCATAATATCGAACCATTTGATTAGGCCTTAATTTCTTCATGACAATTTAAGCGGAGAACACTAAGAAAACTTTTTAAAACAAGATTTATCCAACTTACTGAATGATTTACCACAAAATCTGATTCGAGACATGTGGTTTCAGCATGACGGTTGTCCTACACTTTTAAGCAGAAATGTTAGACAATGGCTAGAGACAAGTAATAAATTTGATGCATGAGCACCGTTATTCTTTACTACTGCCTGTGAGCTATTCAGCTGAGTTTTTTCTAGTAATTCTGATAATAACCTAAACTGTTATAACTTGTTTGATAGCTGAAGAAACGTAGATATTTGAAACGTAGATGTACTTAAACATCTGTAACATAATTGCAATAGAATTTTCCTAAAATATTTCTCAAAAAAAAATACTTTGCACAAATTTATTTCTTTTTTCAACTATCAATCTTCTACGACGACCGAGATTGTTTATTTACTTGAAATCTTGGTATTAAAAATAATTAAACAGCTAATCCACCACACAAACAACATAACAAAAAATAAAACTAGAAGCACAAATTACATAAAAAATAGTACAATAAAAAAAATTGGCAATTTTAATAAGAAAATTCAATATCCAATATCTTGAAAACGGTTAAGTTTGGGGTATGGTGTAGCACAGTCGAATCAGTCGGTAATAATGAAACTACAAACCCCTTAATGATCTGGGCCGACTTAAACTGTAACCCTGTATATGTTATGTAGAAATGGAATTTTATGCATTTTTAACCTCATCCAGATTACCAAAATAAAACTAAATTCAGGAATGAACTGAGGAAATTATAATAATTTCATGACTGTGCTCTAATATTCTCACTTAGATCATCACATCTCATTATTAATGTTAGTTGTATAAGTTTTTTAAACGCAATGACTTTTAAATAACAGTAACAAAAAAATACATAAAATAGAACATAAAATTCACTCAGTATTTTCACTGTTTATAATATGGAAAGATGAACATAAGGGTTAAGGCTGTGGTTAACACGCAGGGTCAAGAGTTCACTTAGACCAGCATTCCAAAGATGTGAAAAGTGCACTTCAACAGCTGAAACCTATAAGATCCACGGGATAAGGTGGCATTCTGCCATAAATTCGATCAGTATTAACTGAGCCAAAAAAATGTTTAAAGGAAACAACATTTTCTGAGAAGTGGAAAATAACCTATGTTGTTCCTGTGCCTAAAAGTAGCTCAGGAGTACAAATAGATGGATACAGACATGTTGGAATATAGTTGACTCAGGCAAAGGAATGAAATTCAGTTATACACAAGAATTTGTTGACACAGATGCCACAACTCCAAGAAGCTCAGCATGGATTACTTCCAAGGAGAGGTGCCAATAGTAATCTTCTATTACTACCGTACATGACTAATGTTGTGCTGATAGTGGACAATAGAAAACAAACTGATGCTGCATACTTTGACTATCAGACTATATTACTTAAAAAAGTTAGCAGCAACTGGTTTCATCCCATACACATAATTTTTCTGCAAGTTACATAAGATGCAAGTGGCAATATATAGAATATGGTAGATATAAGTTAAAACCACAGTATACTTGATCATGTGTGAGTCAGGGCAGTAACTTAAAACATATCATATATCAATAACAATCATTCAATTTATATTAATGGTAAAGCTTAAGATCATCAGCAAATAATAGGTGTTTTGCATCTTTATATACCTCTGGTAAATCATTCAATTTATATTAACAGTAAAGCTTTAGATCATCAGCAAATAATAGGTGTTTTGAATCTTTATAAACCCCTGGTAATTCATTCAATTTATATTAATGGTAAAGCTTAAAATCATCAGCAAATAATAGGTGTTTTGCATCTTTATAAACCCCTGGTAAATCATTGAATTTATATTAATGGTAAAGCTTAAGATCATAAGCAAATAATAGGTGTTTCGTATCTTTATAAACCCTTGGTAAATCATTCAATTTATATTAATGGTAAAGCTTAAGATCATCAGCAAATAATAGGTGTTTTGCATCTTTATGAACCCTTGGTAAATCATTCAATTTATATTAATGGTATAGCTTAAGATCATCAGCAAATAATAGGTGTTTTGCATCTTTATAAACCCCTGGGAAATCATTTAATTTATATTAATAGTAAAGCTTAAAATCATCAGCAAATAATAGGTGTTTTGCATCTTTATAAACCCCTGGTAAATCATTGAATTTATTTTAATGGTATAGCTTAAGATCATCAGCAAATAGTAGGTGCTTTGCATCTTTATAAACCCCTGGTAAATCATTCAATTTATATTAATGGTATAGCTTAAGATCATCAGCAAATAATAGGTGTTTTGCATCTTTATAAACCCCTGGTAAATCATTCAATTTATATTAATGGTAAAGCTCATCAGCAAATAATAGGTGTTTTGCATCTTATACTGGTAAATATTCAATTTATATTAATGGTAAAGCTTAAAATCATCAGCAAATAATAGGTGTTTTGCATCTTTATAAACCCCTGGTAAATCATTCAATTTATATTAATGGTAAAGCTCATCAGCAAATAATAGGTGTTTTGCATCTTTGTAAACCCCTGGTAAATCATTCAATTTATATTAATGGTAAAGCTCCTCAGCAAATAATAGGTGTTTTGCATCTTTGTAAACCCCTGGTAAATCATTCAATTTATATTATTGGTAAAGCTTAAGATCATCAGCAAATAATAGGTGTTTTGCATCTTTATAAACCCCTGGTAAATCATTCAATTTATATTAATGGCAAAGCTTAAGATCATCAGCAAATAATAGGTGTTTTGCATCTTTATAAACCCCTGGTAAATCATTCAATTTATATTAATGGTAAAGCTTAAAATCATCAGCAAATAATAGGTGTTTTGCATCTTTATAAACCCCTGGTAAATCATTCAATTTATATTAATGGTAATGCTCATCAGCAAATAATAGGTGTTTTGCATCTTTATAAACCCCTGGAAAACCATTCAATTTTGCTTGAAAAATGAGGTTGACTGTGGCAGATTGCAAAGGGACATAGACAGAGTGGTGGCTTGGAATAAATGCAACCACTATTACTACACTACACCATTACAATTTAACATCAGTTTCTCAAGTATAAATAACCCCACAAAATATAATTATACCATTGATGGGATGTCAGGGTTTGTGTCACCTCAGGGCTAATGTATTTTGAGACATTTGAGTTTTTAAGTAGTGGTTTCAATATTATTAAAACAACAAAAAATAAAAATATAAGATTCTTTGCAACCTTCCGCTAAATAAATACAACGATGTGTCTTACCTGGATTGAAAAGCACCTCCCGCCCTTCCTCAATTGCATGCACTAACACGAAACACGAAACATATGTCGTATTGTCGTAGATGGTGTGTCTTACCTGGAATAGTGGTGTTGGGAGTAGTGATGCTGGGACTAGTGGTACTGGGACTAGTAGTGACGGAGTTAGTGCATGCAATTGAGGGAGGGCGGGAGGTGCTCTTCAATCCAGGTAAGACACATCATTGTATTTATTTAGCGGAAGGTTGCAAAGAATCTTATATTTTTATTTTTTGTTATAATGGATTTCCGCAAAGTAACGCCTGATTCTATCAATTATTATTAAAACAATTAATAAATTTAGTGTTCGAAGAGATCTTATAAAAGCTATCTACATATTTAAAATTCTTGGAGATAGGTTACACAATATGGATATGCTGAAGTAAGTTGAGCTGTGTATTTCAGAGAGATATGTATAGCAACAGCACAGACACAACTGCTGGTAGTACCCTGTCGGCATGCAGTTGTAGAATTACGCACCGTGAATATGTACACTCCATACTGTAAACCTCATAGCTAGTGAAATGGATTCATTTTATTATAATATAAATTCACTTAGACTGCACTAACAAGGATAGCAATGTACATAATTTATTATAAATTAAAATAGTTATTGTATTTTTGCGATTGATTGCTACTATTGCATTGGGTACTTATTTGCTCACTTAAAGTCTAGGACATAGACTTTAGTATGTTAAAATATTTTACTTGATAAACCAAATGTATCCCATAGAAATATTATCAAATGCTTAAACCACAACAGCATTATTATTAACATTGCTACTGGTATGGTATATTAAAAATGAAATGAATGGTATGGTATATTTTAAATATAAAATGAAATAAAAGGAATTAACAATATTGTTGACCATAATACTCAGAATTTAAATTTTAAATGGGGCCAGTGCTACAATCAGTTATCAATATCTGGCATTGGAGTGTCTACGAAAGGACATATTACATATGCATTGTCACCGCCAAAATGACACAATTAAACGCCTAAAGAGAAACGAATCTTGCAAAATGTTATTATAGTTCCGTACTTATCTACGTAAACACTGATAGTATTTGTTATTGTACCATTACTCCTACATAATGTGAACGATAAAATGTACCTTCGTCGCAATGAAAGAGGTCATGAGGTTTGCTAAAAAGACTTGGTTCGTTAATGAAATATCTTCAGACGAGAAACACAGATACCAGGAGCTTCCATAACCTCGGCCGTTCAAGACGTAAACCTAAAGAATAAAGTTAGTTAAAGGTCATATTACTTCTCCGATTATTATTACGGACCTAATGCTAAAGAAAATCAAGGTTTTAATTCATTATTTTAACTACTATTTAGTAAATGCGTATGATCTTTGTATACAGCTGACATATATGAGTTGGGTCGACGCATAGGCGATTCGGAGCGCCAAATCACAACCGATGTTTGCAATGAATTGTGACATGAAATTAAGTTACATTAAATTCTACATACCTTCATCTACTCCTTAAAAGCGTTAACTTCAATAAGGATTATAGTAACGGGAATAAAATCACTGTAAACACACAATAGCACAATCTTGACAAACACCACATCAAACGTCCATTTACCGACTGCAGCGACAATCGGTACTAGCGGCGAATTCTAGAATCTTAAATCTTCTGTTGTGTGCCAAAGAGTATATAATCACTACATTATACGAGTTGTGTGCTCGGTTTAGTGTTACCCTTAGAGTATACATAAGCAAATAATAGAGTGCGCGTATCGCTCATTGTCCATTACATTATACCAATGTCACAGAATAAATAATAGTACTTCGTTCAGAAGTTGCACTCCTTTGCAGTTACTTGCTTGACATTTAACAGCCTACCTAATTATTATTAATTAGATAAATCGCGCGCACAAGCTTAATAAAGCTTTATGCCTGCGCGCGAGTGTCCATATTACTTCGTATCTTTTCCCCTTCCTAAGTCACGTCGGATTTTCCGTGGTTACTAAGAAATGTCAATAAAGAGTCAAAAAATACATTGCGAAATGTTAATTAAGTTACTTAGGTGAAGTACCTATTCTGACTATGATCGGCTCACCATATTTTCGCACTATGTGAGTTCTGCGATGCTAAACGCATGCAACTTGCAGGGCCATTCGTCGGGAATCACAATGCTTGATTCGGCAGAGACAAGAAATAGCCATCAAATATGATTCCTAACACGAAAAAACAAATGTGATCGTATTCTAAGTACTTACTAAGTTACAGTGGACGATATGAATGACAAGCTCGTGGAAACTGTCCATGCGGTCGGAGCTAAGTTCTGCAAGACCCGCCGCAGAAGAACACAAAAACTCTCCGATCACACCCTTAATCTCATGGCTGTTAGACGGGAGATGAGGTTGCAATCGTCAACGGATTTGGCAGCAAACAGGCAACTGAACAGACAGATCTCCAAATGCATGCGGCGAGACTTACGCAACTTTAATACTGCTCGTATTAAAGAAGCGATCGAGCGGAACCAGGGCTCCAAAGTTTTTGCCAGAAATCTGTCTGCCAGAAAGAGCCAACTGTCAAAGCTGAAGACTGAGTGTGGCAGCATTGTTTCTGGGACACCTGAGATTTTGAGTGAGATTAAGAGGTTCTATGGGCAGCTGTACTCATCATCATTGGAGCCACACGCAAGTGCGAGTAACGATCCAAGAGCAAGTCTTATCCGACACTATTACGATGATATTCCGGACGTCAGTCTGAGCGAGATTAGAATGGCTCTCCAGCACCTTAAAAACGGCAGGGGCCCAGACGAGGATGGAATTACAGTGGAGCTTCTGAAAGCGGTTGGAACACCGGTACTTAAAGTCCTTCAGAAGCTCTTCAATTCCGTTCTTCATGGTGGCACTACTCCGGAGGCGTGGAGCAGAAGTGCGGTGGTCTTGTTCTTTAAGAAAGGCGAAAACGCTCTCTTGAAGAACTACAGACCAATTTCCCTTCCGAGCCTCGTCTACGTGCTGTTTTCGAGTGTCATTACGAATCGTATCGCACGCAGACTCGACGACTTCCAGCCTCCCGAACAAGCAGATTTCCGAAAAGGGTTCAGTACCATAGACCACATACATACCCTGCGGCAGATTGTACAGAAGTCCGAAGAGTACAATCTGCCACTTTGCCTGGCGTATGTGGACTATGAGAAAGCCTTTGATTCCGTCGAAATTTGGGCGGTGCTACGGTCTCATCAGCGGTACCAAGTTGACTGTCGGTATATCGAAGTGCTGATGTGTTTGTACAGTAGGGCTACGATGGCTATCCGAGTACAGAACCAGAGTACGAAACCTATCCAACTGCAGAGACGTGTAAGACAGGGTGACGTAATATCCCCGAAACTATTCACCGCTGCATTGGAAGACGTTTTCAAGCTACTGGACTGGCAAGGATACGGTATTAACATCAATGGCGAGTACATCACTCACCTTCGATTTGCCAACGATATAGTTCTTATGGCAGAATCGCTGGAGGATCTAAGCACTATGCTCAATGACCTCAATGGTGTCTCCCAACGGATAGGTGAATATGGACAAAACAAAGATCATGTTTAATGTCCATGTCACACCTATGCTGGTAGTTGTTGGGAGCACTATGCTCAAAGTTTTCGACGAGTACGTTTACCTGGGACAAATAGTCCGACTAGGTAAGTCCAACTTCGACCGAGAGGTCAATCGACGGATTCAACTCGGCTGAGCAGCGTTCGGGAAATTACTACACATCTACAAATTTTGCCATTACAACGGACGTAGTTAGTACGGACGAGAGTTTTGTCTATGCGATACAGCATCAGGTTATTAAGACCAACAACTATCGGAGATACATCTTAGCAAGTTAGAACTATAAGCATGGGTGTGAACAGTCTGGAAATGGCAAGGATGACGTTATTAAAGATATGACGTCATGAAAGATCACACGCAAGACGCAAGCAATTTTTTTCGACAGTATTTATTTGAATGTTAAGTTACCATGGTGAAATGTGCAGTCCCAGCTGCAAAAACGATTCACGGAAGCAAACTTTTCACTTCTTCTGAGTGAAGTACGTAGTTTACCAGATAATACGTTTGCTCATTAAGGGCCCACAATCAGTTAGGATTTGTGGAGGCGTTTCTTCCTTTAAGTAACAGAACCGACACATCCTTAAGTTGCTTAGTACCAGAATGGATATGATCTTTTTAAGACAACGGTGTCCAGTCAGGGCTCATGCCAGAATACGCAGCTTATTCTTACCTAATCGCCGGGATTCTAAAGGGAAATTGTAAATTATAAATGATATATGATATGGTTGAGTTTTGTTTCGTTTGTGTAGATTAATTTCCGCACACTGAAGTACGCCAAAAATGTATGCCTGGAAGATAAAGGTGAATCTATTCAAATTTATACTTGAATCAAATTCAAAGTTTGAATTTAGAGCGTTCCCTATAAATTCAAAAGCCTACATAGAGGGCCATGTTTGACCCATCGGTATATCATATAAGGCTGCCAAAGTGAGAGTTAACCTGTCCATTCTGCCAGTCTTCTCTGAAGGGTAGTTCCAATATGTATTTTTATTAAAAGTGTATAGTGGACCCATGACATCTAAGATCATGCATAAGATCGATGGTTCCTTAATTGAGTTGAGCATGGATCTCAATCTAAAGGAAAACAAGCTCAGACCGCCCTCGGCGTTAATCATATACAAACTAGCCCTCTCCTTCTTGTAAATAAAGATCAAGTACATTAGGCTTAGAAGCGAATTGAGAGCCGCTCCAGGCGATGATCGTATTACTTTCGTTGCCATTAAACAGGCAGTCCTTTATAGACTATTTAATCTGTACGGAGTTATTTTTTGTTGGCCTTATTACAACAGACAATGAAGGCCTAGGTAAGAATTGGCCTCACTATGCTACTGTACATCAGCATTACTCATAAACTGTTATCCCTACACCAGTTATGTATGGTGTTTAGGGCTCTTCGTATGATTAATGACAAAGCAGGTCGGCAAAACCCTTCGCAATGACCACAAAGTCATCAGCATAACCCAGTGTGTCAATGTGAACAATACAATACGAGTCAAAAGGAGGGGTGACAATACACCTCCTTGTGGACAGCCTCTTGTAGTTGCAACCTCAATAAACGGTGCTATTTTCGCCTTCTGTTTGAGAGCATCACACCCACCTGGTGGTCATGGGTCAATATTTTTAGGTATCAGGCCCCCTACCAGTATTCATAATTCATAATTCTTTATTGCATGTCACAAAGTATAAAGTTGCAGCAATATATTTACAGAACGTGTGACGCCCTGTACGGGCGTAGCACATTAAGACAGAGTTTAAATTTTAATTAATATGGAAGTCATTTAAATTACAGTATTTATACTCGTAGTACATAATATATAAATTATTATTAATTAATTTATAAAATGTCGGACTAAATAGTACTCACACATTTATTTTATAAATTAAATTTCAATAAATATTATATGTCAACTACTGCTCATTTGTCATATAAATTATGTAAATAAAGTTTAAAAATTTTGATGAAAAATACTAACAATGTCAAATATGTAAATAGAGGTAAAGAAAATTGTCAAATAATTAAAATTGATTTATAATATATCATTAAAATATTCATTCAAACTATAATGTGTTTTTACAATAAGAATTTTAAGTACTATTACAAATTTACGACACTGGAGGGCTTTTATTGTATTAGGTAAATGGTCATAAACTCGTATAGCCATGTACTCGTAGTAGGGACCATTTTTACATAATGTGAGATGTGTGGCAGGAGCAACCTGATTATAACCTCTGCGTGTGCCGTATCGCCTGGGTCTATCTTCAAATCGCTGGAAATAATGAGCATTTTTCGTTTCGTTCGTAGCTCACGCAGGGCATAGCAAAAATTGCTCAACTTACTCACTACTCCTTCTACATGACTTTTCCATGAAAAAGTTGAGTCTATTGTTAATCCCGAGAAGTGAAAATGTGCGAACTTCCTTAATATTTATACCTTGGTAAGATATAGCGAGTGGGACTTCTGATCTCTGATATGGACGAAACTGCATTATTTTGGTCTTTTCAAAATTTAGTAATAAGCCTGAAACCTCTAATTCATTCACAATCTTGCTAAGGCATTGGGTTCTTTTTTCCTGCAAACTACTTAGATTTTTTTGTTCTCAAGTAATTATAACTGTCGCGTCATCTGCAAATAAAACGACTCTATGGGGTACTACTGAAGGACGTTCGTTGATATAAATAGATAATAAACAACAAGCATTCTAGGACACTACCCTGCGGTATAGAACCTGTTATTGTTGCGGTGGACGAATTTATGTCATTTATCAGTTTTCGATATTCATTTAAATGATACCTGCACGTACTGTTTTCTATTCGCAAGATAAGAAGAGAGCCATTCGTGCGGTTTCCATCGTATACCTAGCGAATATAACTTTTCTAGCAAGGGTCCATGCAAAACGCGATCGTATTCCCTCATTTAAAGCATTGTGAATTTCTAAGATGCAGTGAAATACAGCGGACGTAGTGGAATGATCTTTTCGGAAACCATCCTGATATTTATTAAAAATGCTGTATTTTTAAAAAAAAATTATATATTTTACTACAAATTATTTTCTCAAAAATTTTTGAAATTACAGACAGTAATGCGATGGGGCGATAATTAGATACAGACGTTTTACGACGTACAGCCGTTTGTACTCTTTTTATGTAAGATTTTCTTTTTTCTGTGACTATTATTCTTTTTAGTTTGCTGTAAATTTTTGTATAAGATTTTAAGGCTTCATTATTATAGTAGTTAGTAAGATAACGTAAAACACGTTTGTTGTAACATCATTTTTAATGCCTTTTTTTGCCCATCTTGTCTTTTCTTTATTTTGTAATTTATACAATTTTCGTGGAATATGTTCATCTAAAATAGACTTGATTTGGTTCTGAATTATAGTTTGTATTTATATCACTCGTTGGGGTCATGATATTACACCAATTAATTTCATTTAGTTTAATTCTGAATTTTTTCATATTATTCTCATTAAAAAGTCGTTTGTTTATTTTATAAGTAATATTATTTCTATTTATATTCTCTTTCACTGGTATTTGTTCAATTAATGCGTGATGGTCTGATAAGTCATAATTTTGTACAAAAGCTGTCATGTATGTATTTTTAGAAATTATAATTTGGTCAATGCATGATTTACTGTTTTGGGTCTCACGTGTAGGAGTTTCTACACAGAACACCTAATATAGATTAAGTGTTCTGTGAGTTTCTATAAGACAGCGCAACCCGAATGATTTTCAAAGATTGATTAAGTCTACGAGATATTTTTGTATCCTTTGTGATGTCTATATTTATATCGCCCGCTAAGATAATTTTTTTTAATATGAGCATGTTTGGATAAGTGGTTTAGTAAAGCTCGCATTTGAACGAAAAAATGTTTCTATTTCCCTCTCACAACGATAGACGTCACAATGAATAAGTTAGATTCAGTAATCTCCAACGCACACAATTCCACGATAAATTCTACTGTGAATAATTGAATGTCTAAACGTTCTTTAGTTTTAATGTTTTCTCTAACAAAGATACTAACCCCACCGTGTATATGTTTTTGCCGCAAATACTTCGCACGTAGTTCGTAGCCCTCTAATGTGGAAAAATGATAATAGGTAATAACCAATGTTTACTCACGATTAATATATCTATATTACTTTCATTAACAATAAGTTTAAGTCGTCAATTTTGTTAGGAAGACATTGAATATTTTGACACATAATTTTCTAGCATTTAGGGGCGAAAGGAAGACTTCTCTGTATCAATTTTATTTTCTTGAAACGTTATTACTGTTAGATCAGAGATATCTTCCATTCGTCGATTTTCACTCAATGTTACATTATCAAATGTTCTTATAAATTCGTTTATGTCATGCAAAACTGTCTTTAATCCGTGTTTATTTAATTTTCCATTATATCTTGAGAACATTTGAGAAGAATAGTCAAAATTTTTGTTGGAGTCTAAAATGTAACAATATTCAAAATTATTATCATCAGAGTATAATAGGTTATTAAAGGTTTCATTTGGAAACATAAAAATCAGTTTTTCCTTCAATTAAAATACAAAATTGTTTGTAGACCACTTAACAGTTGGTTAATACCTCCTCCTGTTATGCGGTAGTGGCAGATGTTTTGCGTTTCGAAGTGGTGTCTCATAGGGTGCGTTTGGCAGAAAAAAGCGCTAGCAAGCGCTTGTAAGCAAAATGGCGATCGTAAGCGGTAAGCGCTGTCAAATCGTAAGTAGCTATTTTCCTCCAGGACACGATGTTAGTTTTAACCGGGGAACCTAACCTAATTTAAATATATGTTTGTAAAGTATTCATATTAAAAACTTACCAATCATGAATTTTTAATAACATGTATATGTTTATTCATGTCATTATATTACTTAAAACTAATATTGCGCAAAACAACTTATAAACTCTACTTCAAAACAAACAAATTAAATAAGCAAAATGGCGGATTGTGTCAGCGCTACTGAAGTAGCAATCGTGTCCTTGCCGAAAACTATATCAGCGCTTATAAGCGCTTGCTAGCGCTTTTTTCTGCCAAACGCACCCATTGTAGTCGCCATTTTATTGCTACGAATGCTGATAATGATGCACAGTTTCCTTTTTGGTGGATATTCGCAAGTTTCTTCACTAGTTTTAATTTTTGAGGTTAGGGATTCGGCATAAAAGCGGTTTGTATCATTTACATATTTTCAGGTTGAGTAGCAGGCAGTGTTTCTTTAAGCTTTATTCGTTCAACACATTCAAAACTATAACGTGTATGACTTTAGACTTGTCTTGTTTTGTTTTTTGGGCTTACTTAAAGGTGTTGAGTTATAGGAATTATTGGCTGTTTTTCTCAATTTTACGTCATCGATACTAATACTTTTGTAGAGTTTTATAATTTTCTCATGTGTTCTAAAATGTTTTTGTTAGGTTTTCTATTCGTTATGTTTAAATTGTCCACCTCTTTGTTTGCTATAATTAGTTCTGTACGTAACCTTGAAACTTCTTCTTTTAACTCCTGTATCATTAAGCAATCTCTTAAGTCGTCGTCTGGTAGACTGCGAGAGGTTTTTTGTTAATTTAATGAATGAGAGTGTGTATTAGTCGTTGATATAAATGAGTCTGATAAATCTGGAAATGAATCTGATAGTTTTATTGATATGTCAATATCTATAATTGTACAAAGAGCTATTTCTTTATCCTCCAGAGCTTTTGAGACCCTGTCAGTAATACTGATCAGGGCTGTTTCCGTAAATTTGGGACGTCAAATATCTCAGTCCCCCCCCCGTGACCATGGGTGCTGTAAAGCACCCGAAACGTCGGGAATTAAAAATAAGTAAAATCGGTTAAATAAACGCGATAAAATCCGTAAATTTAGTTTTATTCAATGTGTAGCCAATTTTGTCTGTGGCACCTATGACATATCTTAGTACAGCAGGCACACGCTCGACTGTGGCCGGCTTCATTCGGTCACTATGACGTAGGCGCGGGACCCGAAGCTTGTTGTCGTGCAGAACCTGCTTGACGTGCTAAAGCTCGGCGGCCAGGTGTTTGTTGTCACAGATCCCTCGTGCTCTCTGTAACAAAGATTTGCCCACGGTAGGTAACTGTGAAGGATGGTGGTGAGATTCACCGTTTAAATATCGGTTTGTATGGTTTTTTCATATACATATACAGTGTGACCTATGGTGTTGTTAGGATTTCGGATGACTAACACATCTAGGAAAGCCAAGGAATTATTTGCCTCTAACTCCATAATAAATTGAATTTTAGAATTAATTTTGTCTGATATGTTATGTTATGTTATGTTATGATTATGTTATTTTGTCTGATGGTAAAATTATGAAAGTATCGTCTACGTACCGGTTGTAGAACCTTGGGGTAATACTAACAGATGCAGTAAGGAGAGCTTTCTCCTCAAAGTCTTCCATGAATATATCGGCGACAATGGGAGATAGAGGTGAGCCCATCGCAACACCATCTACTTGCTTGTAAAACTCTTCCTTCCACAAAAGATAGCCATATGTGAGGCAATGTCTGAGTAGTACAGCATATTCTGCTGGCATGTTATTTTCCTATAGTTTCTTAGTTATAATTGAGATGCAGTCTTCAACAGGTAGGCATGTAAATAGAGACTGAACATCAAAACTGACCAAGGTTTCATTGTCAAAAAGACGTAGGCCTTTTATCTACTCCAGGTTAACATTGACATCGGGACGTCAGTCACCTCGCCCCCCCCCGTGACCATGGGTGCTAGAAAGCACCCGAAACGTCGGGAATTAAAATTAAAATTAAACGTTATAAAATCCGTAAAAGTAGTTTTAATCATAGTGTATAGTGTTCGCGTAAGTATAAGAAATCTTCATAATTTATTTACTTTTGAAAACATTTTTTTTCTATTTTCTTAGTTTTATTTTATATTATAATTTAATCCCCTGCAGTATGAATAAATGTTCGCTATGTATTTCGTCTATAATGTCTGTGACGTGGGTAAATTTAATTTTTTTTTGTTTTTAATCGTTCAATCTAGTTACATATACCTATGATGTGAAGATTGCTGACTATGTACCTAGAACAGTTGCTATGTAAATCGACAGGAATGCAGGCGCAGCAATTCAAGCCACGTGTCGGATGTATAAAATATCACGTACTCATTTACACGAGGCTCATTCTGTTAGCTTAATTAGCTATAGTAACATAATTTGTAATTTTATTTTAAATATATTTTATAAAGTAAATTTGGTTTTTTTTTCGAACCTCCGGCCGCAGCTAACGTAATTGGCGCAGTCGGTAGGATACTCAGGGGTAGTTTTGTGATAGTTAGGGAATATCTTTTCATAACCGTGAAGCACCCCGGCGGCTATCAAGTCCCTTCGAAGAGTATCCGGATCTACGGACCAACTGCAGACCAGGAGGAGAATCCAGCCTTCGATTCGTCGAGAGAAACCAGATGAAATCCACGTGAGTACACTTGAATTGATCTCGTGTTGCTTTCCCTTATCCCTAAG